TTTTGTGAAGTTTTTCAAAGTTCTTTCTTGAGACATTTTCTGCATTTCTTTGTGAAGAAACTCATTCTGCAGAGCAGCATAATCCGGGTTTGAGTGTTCTAGTTTCTTCTCTTTGTTTCTTTTATATTTCATTACTGTATTGTGAGTGTCTGGAAGTGTGGGCACTGGTTTCTGTGGCTGGAATTTGGCTGCAGGGTAGTTCAAGAACTGGAAGTTGGTTCTTGGTGAAGGTTTAGGTGCAAGGACTGGAATTTTGGTTCTTGTGGTAGATTGGATGTGTGATTGGAATTGTAATCTGTAAAACATTCAATCTAGTGGAACTCAGCTGGAATTTGACTGAGAACTGGATGTAGCCCTGGGATTGGGTGAACCAATATAAATCTTGGTTATATCTCTCTAAACCTTTCTCTCTTTAATTCTGCTGTTGTCTTTATTTTGATTGTTTGTTTTGTTTGATTCAAGAATTGGTCAGAACTCTTAATATTTGAAATAGATAATCTGTAATTTGCAAAAATCTTTCAAAGATTAATTCACCCCCCTCTTGATCTCAACCTCCTTTTCTAACACCAGTCACAATTGGTACATTACCAGTGAAAAAAGAATTACTTGATTTAGGGGTCAACATAAACCTCATGCCATTATCTATGCTCAAAAGAATAGGAAACATAGATGTTAGACTAACTAAAATTACTCTGCAACTAGCTGACAGATCAATAAAGATTCCATATGGAGTAGCAAAAGATGTTTTAGTTAGAGTGGATAAATTCATATTTCTTGTTGATTTTGTGATTATGGACATAGAGGAAAATGAGGAAGTCTCATTGATCCTGGGAAGGTTATTTATGAAGATTGCCAAAGTAATTATAGATGTTGACATGGGCAAGTTGAAAATTAGAAGTGGAGATGATGAAGTTAATTTTAATCTGTTTGAAGTTGTACAACAACCGGAAGACAAGAAAGATTGCCTCAGAATAGATACTTTGGAGGAATTACCCATCTCAACTGAAAAACAAGATGACAAGTCTATTTCACAATCCCAAAGACATCTCAATCTGACTATGAAGGAAGTTATTCAAAGAGAGGTACTGAAACCTCCTGAAGCAGGTATGATTTATCCAATCTTTGACAGTCGTAAGGTTATTCGCAATGAAAAGAATAAATTCATTCCCACAAGGACAGTCAAGGGATGAAGAATGCGTATAAATCACCTTGATCATTCACCTGCATGAGCCCTAAAGAAAATAGGTGTCAAGCTGAAGACGTTAAACAAACGCTCCTGGGAGACAACCCAATGTTTTGAATTTTTTTTTTCTTTTTGCAGTTTATGTTTTTTTGTGTATTTTTCTTCCTTAGGTTCTTTCTTTGCAAGATTGCTCCAGGTACACAGTGAACTTCTCCTCAAGACTTTGAAGTCTGACTTCAATGGTCTGGGGACAGTCCAACTTTTCCGGAGGGGTGACAAAGTCTGCAGCTGAGGCTGAGGCACAAGATAAGCAGGAGGTGATAAGTGAAGAAAATGAGGGAGGAAACTGACTTTATTTTTAATGTTTTTAATTCCTTTATTTTTAATTTAATGTTTTTAATTGCTTTATTTTAAATTTTGAATTCCCTAGTTGTCCCATAATTTGTTTTAGAGTCATATATGAGATTATTGCTTATTGTTTAATTCAAATCTGGAACGTGAAAAATCATTTTCATTGTTTCCAATAACAAGTGATTTTGGGATGATGAGTATGATAATGAAAAGGAATTGATGAGGAGAATTATGAATTAACGGAATTGGAGAACCTAGTCAAAACCCAGGTGAGTAGAGTGTCACAAACAGTTCAAATTGAGTGTCAACATTTTATGATGATAACTGGTATTAGTTGATTCTTTGAGGTGATTACATGTTGGCAAGAATTGAAAATGATAAAGGCATTTTTTTTTCTTTGTAGTAGATATAACCCAGAACCAAATAGTCAACCCTGCATTAATTATAGGACATCCATTTGAACCCCTTCTGAGCAAAAAATAATATTGTTTCTTAAACAGAACCCATGAGCCTAAAAACTATTTATCTACCTTCCTATATTTGAGAAAGGAAATGAGTATGAATGTTATTATTTTTCCTATTGTTGGGTATTGCTATTGTTGTCCTACGTGTATTATTGGGATGTTATTGTTAAAAAAAAAAGGAAAAAGAAAAGCAAAGCATAAATATTGTGGCAAAGCTAGAAAGGATAAATGCAAAAGTATGAGAAAAAAAAATATAAAAGTAGTTCAAGGGGGATAATAATTTGTGAGATTATTAACTCACTATCATTGTTAGGGACAAAAACATGAAGTTTGAAACCTGACTTGAGGAAATGTTAAACAAGAATCATTCATATGATTTGAATTTCTCGAATACTTTTGTATATCCCAGAAAAATCAATGAATTCTTTCTTAGCCCAGCCCCATTACAAGCCTCAAAAGACCTTTTGATTTAAGTCTTGCTTAACAAATGTTGATTGTTTGAAGATTATTACCAATATTGGATTATCTAAATGAAGTGATTGAATGAGATAAACACTTACCCGTGAGAGTTAGGAATGATTATATATCACTCTATTTGAGAGATCATGTTTCTCTAAGAATAGTTGAGGACTAATTATTCTTTGTTAGTTTCTGTAACTTGAATGCTACTTTCATTTGAAGTTATGAGCATCACATCTGAAAATTTGTTTATGTTATGGTTCTGGAAAAGAAAGTGATAATAGGCGATGGTTTTGTTTTGGAAAAATTACTTTTTTTGGGACAAGCAAGATTCTAGGTTGGGGGAGTTGTTAAATGGTAAAAACTTGATATAATTATACTTTGAATTGTTATGAAATTACTTAACTTATGTTAATTCTAATCTATTTTTATCTCAATATAGTATGAATTCGAGAATACCTTGATACAAGAGTAAAGATCATAATTGTGAAGTAATTGAAGAAAAATTGAAAGAAAGAAGAACACTTAAGCGAATGAATGATGCGAGGCCCGACCCAAATTCTCTTATAAAAAGATAAGATGTGTTTTGAGAAAGGAAGCGATTTTGGGGAGAAGAGACGCGACTACTACTAGGGTTTCGTCCAATCTTCATCAATTCTTCACTTCTTCCACATTTGGAGCATTGTAATGGCTAACTTCATTCTCTTGGGATTGGGTGCACTTTCTTTGAACTCTTTTGTATCATGGTGATATTTTGAGATATTAATCTATGTTTTGATGTTGTTATACTTATCCTTTGTGTTTTGGAATGAATTATTCTTGATGTTTGGGATATGATTGAAAAATATATCTTGAACCCTAGATCACGGTAAGAATATTTGTTACGTTAATTGCCAATGATGGAATGAATGTATCAATTGTTTAACACCCTAAATCTTATGCTGGAAAATCTCTTAATTGTGTGAGGAATCAACATTTATTAGATTTTCTTATAAATTTCATGTGTGAGGAATCAACATGGATAATTTGAGTAGGTGACATCAACATTGTTAGGTTAATTGATGTTCTTAATTGACATAGTCATTACAAAAGAGGGATAAGGAAGGAAGTCAATCGTAAGTGACTTTAATTAATCTTTTCTCAACAATTTACAGTTCTTTGTTATTTAATTTCAATTCAATTATTTATGCAAAACCCAATTTGTTTTAATCCACTTAGTAAACATATAATTAGGAATTTTCATTGAAATCGTTTCTCGTAGGATCGACTTTTATTTAATCGAAATACTAATAAATAATTTAACATAAATTTCATAAATTGTAAAAAAACTTATAAAATATATTATAAGTATATATAACACATGAGGCTACAAACCATCACAAGGACTATTTCTTCTTGGTCCGTAAGTAAATTTTAAGATAAGACTTTTTTTAAAATGATGATTAAACAAGATACATTTCACCTAAAAAATTAATAAAATAAGATAGTAATTTTAGTTTATTAATTTATTTTGATCCTATTACCTAATTTAAAATTTCGGTGAATAATAATGAAAAGAAGTAAGTTGATCTATTTTAAAAATATTTATATATTTAAAATTAAAAAAATATAATTAAAATATTTTTTATATATTATAATATTATAATTTATATTCTAAAAATTAATTAATTAAATTTATATTATTATTTGTAATTAGTTATTTTAATATATATATTTAATAATGATCTAATAAAATTTTTAAAAATAAATTTTAGAAAAATATATAAAAATTATTAAATTGATCCGTCAACCTGTCTTTTTATAAAATGGATTCTGATATAATATATGATTATGATGAATCTAATCTAATAGTTAAAAATGGATTCTGATATAATATATGATTATGATAAATCTATTCTAATAATCAAATTTTATATAATATATGATTACGATGAAATATAATGAAATGGACAAGTTTTATAAAAGAGAAAGGATTATCGTCTTTTTAAATTTTGTAATTTAAATTTTATAATTTAAATTTGTAATTTATATTAATATTTATGATTTTTTTTAATATTATTTTTAAAATTTTATAATTTATATTAATATTTATAATTTTTTCTTTAAAATTTATTAATTATTAAATATATTTATTTATATATTTATAAACTTCACTTCATAATTTTTATTATATTTTTATTTTTTCTATTCATTTAATGTTCAATCCAGCTACTGCCTACCCCATCATCCTAAATTTTTATGCGGGACCAGGTTTGATTTGGTAAGAAAAAGCCACAATTTGTTCCCTTACACGCAACTGATATGACAACTTAACATCTACTAGCTACCCGTATAAAGAAGACTTGGCATTATATATTATTTTAAATATCATAAGGAAATTCTATATATTAAGATTAATATTAACATTTTCACTGGTCAAAAATGGAAAACAAGTTCATACATGTATTCATATAATTTTTTCCAGATTTGCTACATGATGCTTCTATTAAATTCAAGTAGAGAGAAACATGGTGGCTCAGAAAAGCAGAACAATATTGTTTTATTTATCTCAAGGCAAAAAGGATAAGAGATGACATACCAAGAAGAATCAAGGGCTCTGGAAGGGCACCCAGGATGTGAAAAGCACTAGCACCAAAGATACCAGGACCAAGAATCTTGAAGATCTGTTCTCCTCCTTTAGCCAAATATGATTCTCCATGGAACAACAAATACTCATACACCAAAATCAGAAAGAGATGGCCAAAAATATTGTTTGTGCATGGCAAGAAGCCATACATTTGTTTACAGTGCTCCTCAAAGGACTCATCATCAATTCCTTTGAGAACTAAGTGAGAAGTTTCGTTGTGTTGAACTTTTTGAACGCCATCTGAAACTAGTTCTGCCAGATGCCGACCTTGAACCCTAACTGTTGCTGGTAATAAAATGAGAAAGACAGAGTATGTTTTGGAAATGTTTCTCATTTTTATTTTTATTTTCTGAATTGAGCAAAGGAAAGGAACAATAAAATTTTATGACTATAGCTATATTTATATAAAAGTTTTTATGTATACAAGTAATTGAAAGTCAACAAATGGGTTTACTTGATCCACGGTTTAGAAAAAGTCTGTCATAAACTAGGAGTGATCCTTCCCATACAAAATTTAGTACAATCAGTATCCGGGTCTTCTAAGTTCTATCTCTATCTCCTATTTCCTTTGATTAAAATAATAAATACCTAATACAATTGGATGATTAATAATAAAAAAATCAACACCCTTACAAGTTGATTATGTATCTCCCAGTACGGATATCTCCCATCTAATATTATTTTACGAAGATTATTTCAAGTTAAATATTGTTTTACAAAATTTATCAATAGAGTAAATGATATTATTCATACAAGCTTAAAAAATTTATGTGAGAGAAGTTAAGAAAAAAAATGTTTGAAACTAATATTTTTCATGGATGTATATATATATATATATATATATATATATATATATATATATATATATATATATATATATATTATTTCCAAATTTTTATAAAACTTCGTAGAAAATAATTGTACATAATTAATTCTATATTGATAATAAATTTCAAGAAACAATTTCTAATTTTTGAAAACTTTCTTAAAATATTATTTAATTATTTTCTTGCCACTTTTTAAAATATTATCTAATTATTTTTTACTGATATAAATATTACATATAATAACATGATACTATATCCGTTAAAAAGGACTCGTAAAAAATAGTACGATGACAAAATTATTAATGGAAGATACTGTTTATATCGGTTGTTATATATATATATATATATATATATAAAACATTGGTTAACATATATAAGAACCAATGTAGTATGTTATAACTACGTTGGTTTTTACAAGAAAACAATTTAATAAGATCTTGTGCCCGTTCATCAGTTACACTCAACATCCTTTTTGTCTTTGTTTCTTCTCCAACTAGTGTGACTTGCCACATTGTACTATCCCGGTCATAGCCACTACAACTTGTCACTAACTTCTATTACCTATGACGATCAACTAACATCATGAGTCACCACTACAAGAAATTTTGATATTACCGACCGTCAAAATCCGTCGGTAATAACAAAAATCCATCGGTAATATCCATTTATCGACGGATTTTCGACGGCCAAAAATCCGTCGGAAATTTGACTGTCGGTAAATATTACCGACGAATTTAATAGTCCATCGGTAATTACCGACGGATATATCCGTCGCTAAATGTTTGACGAAATTATCGACGGACAGGAATCCGTCGGTAATATTTTTATTATTTATTAAATATTTTACTTATATAGATTATTTATTTTAAAGAATACCTCTTCCCTTTATATATTTATTATTTATTATTTTTCCCTAACATTTTTATAGGCTTCAATTATTATCATATTAAGAGAATTGTCATTGGCAGGATTCGAACCCGATACCTTAGAGTTAGAGGTCGATACTTCAACCACTAAGCTACTGGAATTTTTCGATAATAATTTACAAATAAATTATATTTATATATTTATATATTTTATATATTTATATTTTTATATTTTTATATTTTTATATATTTATATATTTATATTTTATATATGTATATATTTATATATATATATATATTTATATATTTATATACAATTAAATATTTTTATATGTTTTTATATATTTATATATAATTAAATATTTATTTTTTAAAATTATTTAATTTAAGAAATTATTATAAATTAATCTAATTATGATTAAATGAAATTATTAAATAAAAAATATTTAATTTTTTAATTAGTTGAATATTTACTAATTGATAATTTACCGACTGAAATATCCGTCGGTAATTTACTAGATGAATTTACCGACCGGATATATCCGTCATGTAATTAATTATTAATTTATCGATAGATTTACCGACGGATATATCCGTCGGTAAGATCAAATTCCACAAATATTTTATATTCGTCGGTAATTTCCGTCTGTAATACATGGTAATCCAACGGATCATCGTTTATATCGGTTGTATATATATATATATATATATATATATATATATATATATATATATATATATATATATATATATATATATATATATATATATATATATATATATATATAACATTGGTTAACATATATAGGAACCGATGTAGTATGTTATAACTACGTTGGTTTTTACAAGAAAACAATTTAATAAGATCTTGTGCTCGTTCATCAGTTACACTCAACATCGTTTTTGTCTTTGCTTCTTCTCCAACTAGTGTGACTTGCCACATTGTACTATCCCGATCATAGCCACTACAACTTGCCACTAACTTCTATGACCTATGACAATCAACTAACACCATGAGTCACACTATAAAAGCTTAAGTCCTTATATGCAAAACCACCACCATAACACTGTCATTGTTCGGACACCACCACTACAAGAAAAAACGCTATTAGCGACCGAAAAAATCGGTCGCTAATGGCCAAAATTCGGTCGCTATTCTGTTAGCGACGGAAATTAGCGACCGAAATGGTTGGTCGCAAAAGGGCAAGTCGCTAATTTGTTAGCGACCGATTTACATTTCGGTCGCTAAATAGCGACTGATGAGGTGGTCGCTAAAGTGGTCACTAAATAATTTGGTCACTTATTCATTGAAGACCAAAATAGCGACCGAAATTAATATAATAAATCGATCGCTAAATCGGTCGCTAAATCACGTGGTAAAGTTTTAAAAAATAGCGATCGATATATTCGGTCGCTAATATATTAATATAATTATTTAAATAAAAATTAAAATCGGTCGCTAAATTGGAGACAAAGTTAACAATAATAGCGACGGATATAATCGATCGCTAATATATTAATTGAATTATTTAACTAATAATTTAAATCGATCGCTAAATCGGTCGCTAAATTTGAATTGTATATTATAATAAATTTGTAGCGACCAAAAATTCGGTCGCTAATCTAACCAAATCTGAAAATTTTCGTTTAAAATTTTGTATATCCATTTTGACAAAATTTGTACCGCTTAATTCATCCAAACATAACACAAATGAAAACTTAAGAACTAAAGTCAAATTATTCAAATCATAAAATTTGTACCGCTTAATTCATCCAAACATAACACAAATGAAAATTTAAGAACTAATGTCAAATTTTGTATATCCAATTTTACAAAATTTGTACCTGCTTAATTCATCCAAACATAACACAAATGAAACTTAAGAACTTAACAACTAATCAAGATTCAAAGTCTTAATATCATAAAATTGAAAATTAGTTCTCTCGGTATATTGTCGGTGTCATGTTGACTTGTAGTAGGATGACTATTCATTTGAATATGTTGTAAAATAAGCTTCATCTCGCTCATCTTGTTGGCGTTGGTTGTTCCTCAACTCCCGCATCTCTTCTTCAAGTGTCTTCTCCTTATTATGCTTTGCCACCAATTCAGACATTTAACTTTTCAATAGTCTCACGCATTTGTTCAATTTGATGAAGTACTTGGAGTTTGAGTAATAGAAGATTGAGAACCTGATGTAGTAGTGAAATTTTTGCTCAATGTACCAAGTCCATACACATTTCCTTTTTTATTTTCACCTCCAACAACTGAAATGTATATTTGATTATCATCAACAGAGACAATAGGAGACTCTTGTGAAGATGAGCCTTCACGCAAGTTATGTTGATGGACTTCTTCTCTGCGCTGCATATATTGTTCCTAAAAATGAAGTGAAATATAATTATTATGAAGAAAACATATATTGAATAATAAACTATAACTTAGATGTTAAACATACAGCAAGATAACGAGTTTTTTCATTGACCCATTGTCCAGTCTTTAATTTCTTTGTCCTCTCAACAACCTCCCAAACGGTTGGTTCCCGTTGAAACTCCATAGTCTACACATTAAAATGAGACAAAATTCATTACGTAAAGTGTAATATATTGTATTAAATTACTTATATAAAAATATAATAAACTTACCATCTTCTCAAAGTGAGTCACGGTAGATATGGAACCCCCACGATAAGTCGAGGCACCCTTATCAACAACTTCGATTAGCCTTGGCAATGACACTCTTGTTTTGGAAATCTGGAGAACTCCAATGTAAGTCCAAAGATGCTCGAACAGCTGGCGGTATCCAGATTCCCGTATCCTTACCATTCCTAACTTTGTTCATTGAGTTTTTTAAATTTTGAGAACCTTTCTTATCAAAAACAGATCTTATGGCTTGCTCTTGTTCCACATCCCATATATACTCTTTCCGCATAAATAAAATACACAACAAACATTTAATTTATAAGAATGAAATGACATTGTTTAATGTAACTATAATTCAAATTACCTTGAACTCTCCAAACCATCTATCTCGAAGCTCAAGTGAAACCTTTCTCCAAGTGGGACTTGGTTCATCAAATTTTTGTTTGATGATTCTAGAGATTATAGCAGGAGGACCATTTGCTTGGTATAAACCTGTGTTGAAACATATTGTGGGATTGATATTATTAAGAAATTTCATATTAAAGAATTATAATTAAATTAAAACATACTTACTCTCCTTTGTCTCGCTTGTAACCATGGCCTTTGATCAACCATATTTCCAGACTCAACCTCGGTTGCGACCGACCCAGTGTACTGTGTAGGTTGACCAAATGTCGCCTCGATAGAGAAGGTAGTAGGAATTGTTTCTCCTACTATAGCTACAGGAGATTCCTGCCGAGTTGAGGGAGGTGTGCGTTCTACAAACATAGGATTAGTAGACTCCATGGATCTTGGTCGAACAGTAACTAGGAGAGTTAGTGTTGGGTGAACCTCTATCATCAACAAGTACACCTCGACCACCACGATGAGGTGGTCTACGACCACCACTTCTACCCCTTTGTGGCATCTACAAGTGGATCTTATTACATATGTAACATGCATAAAATTAAACAATTGAAACAATGAATTACCCGATTGTGTTTTCTACGACCAAACGTGTC